GATTGCTAGTATCACTCAGCCCTCTGTGAACAGTAAACAGCCATCAGGTGCTAATGATCCATTGTTAGGCTGATGGTCCTTCTTGAGCATGTGATCAGCTGGTTTTGGTTGTCAGCAGCAAACTGGTTGATCCACTCTGAGAAGGTGCTATTTAAGAGACTGAGCTGAATACAGCACCTCAGACTGAGGAAGTCTCTCGGATGAAAGACAAAACGTTTCTACATTTTTTTGTTGTTTTGCTTTGTTTTGTTTTTTTTGAATGTCCAGAGGACCAGACTTAACTTTTTTAGATTTTTCTACCTGGATTATTGAGCATGCATCAGGATGTTTGTCTAGTTCATTGCTGTTTTCTCAGTTGAACAACCTCTGTGCTAAAACAGCTCGCAGTCAGCTCCGTCAGCGTCAAGTCAAACCAAATGTTCATCCAACTCTCGGTGGACTGATGGATGGATGATAGAAGGATGGATGCAGATGCTGGAATTAGCACATTGAGAAATAACATTTAAAAAACAATCTGCCATTTTTTCCCTGTTAAATGTGACAAAGTGAAGACTCAACTTGTCTGCTGCTTCCTTAGATAGAGAACTTTACTAATTGTCTTTTCTCTGTTTGTGAATGTTCCTGTAAAGTCCTGAGACAACTTTGTTGTGAACTGGTGCTTTATAAATAAACTGAACTAAATTAAATTAAATCTGCGTTGTTAAGTTTGACACTATTGGCTTGTCTGGGGTCAGAGAGCGTGAGGTTAACAACACAAATGAAACAAAGAAAAAATAGAGTGGAAAGGAAAATATTTTAAAGTAGTTTATTAGAATTCACAATATTGTATGATATAATAAAATAGAAATAAAATCATAAACTTTCATAACTTTTCAACATTCCTTTAAACAGATGGGGTAATGTACAGTATATAGATGACGAGTCAAAATAAACACATTTTAATTATTTCTATACCCAGAGTTACTAAATAAAAAATAAGATTTTGTTTTGTTACCCCCCCCCCCCCCCCCCAAGTGAAAAATGATCAAATAAATGGAACATTTTTGAGCTTCTACTTCATTTGTGGTATTTTTCCTCACTCCTAGAGGAACATATTTATGTGTTATTAGTCCCTGTTCCTCTGCAGTCTCTGTGAATGAAGTGAGTTATTTGGACAGAAGTTTTTCTCTCTCCAGTGGCAGCTGTGAGGCGAGCCACTCAGTGGTGCGCTTGCGTGCTTCGTCCCAGCTGTATTTGGGCTCATAGCCAAGATCCTTCTTGGCCTTCTGATAGGAGAAGGTGAATTTTGTGTTTAACAAGGTGAGCAGCTGGCGGCTTATTGGTGGGACGATGTGTATGAAAGGTCGAAGTATCATGCAAAGTGTCTCCAAAATAAAACACAATATGTAGAAGAAGCACAGCGGCAGCAGGAGCTTCTCCTGAATGCTGAAGCCCAGAGGAGACAACAGAACGTGGTTAAAGTCTGAATAACTCACAGGTGGTGTGTCATCAGAAATGAAATAAAACTTCCCTCCAACAATGTTCCTTTTCTGTGGATCTTTCAGGCTTCGGGCTGCTTGCAGATGACCATAGGCCACATTTCCCACATAGACCGGGTTTACATGAGCTTCTCGTTCAGACATGCGATACAGAACATCCCTGTTTTGTATCCCATCCCTCATGTGGCCCAGCAGGAAGCGGCAGCCATCTCCATAGATGTACATGGGCCTGAGGGCACATGTGGCAAGATGGCCTCCGTTCTTTAGCACCTCACCGTTTGCCTGGAGGGTTCTGTCCTCAGCCTCTTTTTTGGTTTTGCTGTAGCTGAATTTCAGAGTGTTTTCATAAATCGTGTCTTCATTGCCATTGATTATCGATTCTCCTCTGGGGTTTGGCCCCATTACTTCCACCGTGCTGGTGTAGATAAAGGACGCCACATTCTCTTGGATACATGCCTCCAAAAGCACCTGAGTTCCTGTAATGCAAAGATTACAAGCTTAATGAGTTCAACTTTGCGATCAGAAATAATTAAAGAAGTTGAAGTTTCATTTGAACTGCAGACAGTCAAGTTAGATTTATTGACCATTAAATGCCTGTACAAGCTAAATTTATTGCTATTAGATGTGATTTTCATTGTTTCAGAGTAGCTCCGTACCTTTGACATTGACTGCATAAAGCTCACTGTACTCCACCGACCCAGTCACATCAATGATAGATGCAATGTGGAATACAGTTGATGCACCACGTAAAGCTTTTCTCACGAAACTAGCGTCTCTGATGTCCCCTTCAAACACACTCAATGTTTTCTCGCCTCTACAATCTGACAAAGAGTAAATGACAGTTATTTTCTCAATGTACATAGAAATGCAAGTCATGTGGGACCCAGTGTAAATGTACACAGAGTGAGTAAGATTAGTGCTACATTGTGCTGAATTAGTAGAATACAACAACCAGAGTACCCCACACTGGAAGGGAAAAAGGAAAGTTCAAGTTTCTTTATTGTCATTTGCATCACATATGGTACATGAGGTGGAACAAAATTGTGTACTCAAGGTCCCAGTTACACCCAAAAATAAAATATAAAGTATGAAAAGAAACAGTATACAAGGATTCAAGATACACGCTAAACACTAATAATGTGAAATAATCAGATATATTAAACAGCAGCCTGAACATGAGTCTGTAGTGAGCAGATGGGTTTGAATACAGCAGCTTAAACTCAAGAGATCAGCAGCATGGATAATCAGCAGCACAGACAAAGTGGCATATCAGTTAAAGTGGCATTACAGTGATTCTCCTGGTTAGAGATTCATGAGTGTAACAGCCTCAGGGTAGAAGCTGTTCCTCAGCCTGGTGGTTCCACACTTAATGCTCCTCACCCTCCATGGAACGGTGCAGTTGTATTCTAGACACAAGGCCAGTGTGGCCAGTCCTGCTTTGATTTTGCCATAACCAAGCCACACCAGCAAAGCCCATGCCATGGAAATGCTCTCCACATGCTCCACCTAGGTCACAGACATGCTGCCTGGTTTTTTTCATTTTCTGGGAAATATTAGAACCCTGGAACATGGTGACCTAGTTATGAAAGATCCAAGATAAGAAAAAAGTAAAAAAAAAAAATAAAAAAAAAAACTAAAACAAAAAAAATAAAATAAAAAAAATAAAATAAAATAATAAAAATAATAATTTAATAAAAATAATAAAAAAATAAAACTAACTAAAAAAGAAACCAGCTATTTGTGCACTGTCAACATGAACCTGGATGTTGCCACTCCAAAACTCATGACTATGTACTTTTTCACTTCGCGTTTGTCATTCACCTATGTTTTTAACCTCTTCAAGGACTTTAAGTGAACTTTGAGTTATTTGTATAACTTTTGCATCCTCCACCCTGTTTTTACATTGGTTTAAGATACAAAAAGTAAAACATGAAGATTTTTTATAAACATAATTTCTAAAAGTTTCTTGGATGTATTCAGTTAAAATAATGGAGACCTTTTTACAATAAGTGTCTTTACAAATGACTAATTAATAGCTAATATTGCAATTGATAATTAAACACTTCATAAATTGTTAGTTAAATGCATAAAAGAAAAAAGAAAATATTTCCCATTCTTGCCTAACAGTGAGCCATGGTGTATCAATCAATCAATCAATCAATCAATCAATCAATCAATCAATCAATCAATCAATCAATCAATCAATCAATCAATCAATCAATCAATCAATCAATCAATCAATCAACCAATCAATCAATCAATCAATCAATCAATCAATCAATTCAACTTTGCAGTGATGTAGAGCTAGGTTAGCTTCAGTTAGCTTCAGAGCTCCACTACAGTCAATTTTTAATAACGGGTTCTCTCTTTTTCAAGCTACTTGACAGATATGTGACAGAGGTACTGTGCGTAGATGGTTTAATCAGTGACATGAGACGTTAATTTTCTTTGACCCATCAAAATAAATGTGGTCATTTATTTACAGAATCAAAATTTAACATCAAACATTGTACACTTGATTATGCTATCGGCTCTGATTAATAAAACTTGGCACGTTTTACTTAATAAAAACAACAGACATTTCTGAAGATATCTGGATTAATTACTGGCAAGATAGAAGAGTTTTAAAGATGGGAAACTCAACTAGTTTAAATTGAGAGAAAAGATGGATGAGGGAAAGTGTGTTGATGAGGAACAGCACCCTCCATCCAACCCCAGCTCAGCCCCGGTACACTCGGTAGTGAAGCGACTCGTTACCTTTGCAGAAGATAGGTCAGCTCCGGTACAGAGTTCCATTTCAACGCTACCTTTCAGTGTCTCCTTAGGATGTCTGAGAATCGTCCGAAGTAGTGACGGTACTCCGCTCAATAACACGCTCACCTCCCGGGTGGACTCACATGAGCTGTGAGTCCGTCAGAGGTTCCACTCAGATGTGGAAGGCTCCATAATCCCAACTAGACTCGGAAGAACTCCCAACTAACTCCAGCACTTCAGAACTTTCAGAACTTCTGTTCTCCCTGGAACTAGGAAGTGTCGACTTTTAACGAGTTCTGCTTCCGGTCACTTTTGGGAAGCCCTGATTGGTTGAAAGAACCAACAGGGGTGTGGTTTTAGTGACGTCAGAGGGTCAGTACAAGTCAAAAAAACAGCCGAGATGTTTAGGAACAGGCAGAGAAATGTTTTGACAAAGAGAGAAAAACTACAGGTGTCAGTTCTCTTGTTTCCGTCTGAGAGGTTTCAAAACATGACAGTTCGTTCCAATAGACTTGTTTGCGACTGTCTCCGACTTTTGACCGACATCACACTCTCATTTCAGACAGAAGATCAAAAATGCATAATTACTTTGTAACAGACATTTAACTTGATTTCTACTTTGAATGAGGATTAAAAATCATTAATACTGTTTCACAGTTGATTTAAAATGAGTGGTTCACTTCAACATTTAAAAATGGTATGAACTAAACACACTTTTGATTATCAAGATATTGTAAAATAGTAATGATGATATAAAAAGAGAGTGTTCTTTCAATTGTTTAGTTCAGGATACAATTAGACAGTCTCTGGATGAGCTAATTTGTATTTCTGGATTCAAATCAATGAAATAACAGTTCCTGTCCCATGAAGGTCTTCAGAGGCAGGTTTTGACCGGAGGCCGAGTTCACTACAACTTTATTGTCAGAGTCAGAGTCAGAGTTTCTTTATTGTCATTCGCACCTCATGTGGTACATGTGGTGGAGCGAAATTATGTACACAGGGTCCCAGTTACATCCAACAATAAAATGCACAAGAAAAACAGTAATAACATCCAAGACATGAACCAAGAAAAACATCAACCAAATATACACCAAGCACTCATAAGATAAAACATTGAACATCAGCACAAACTTGAACATGAGTCTGTGAGCAGATGTGCACGCATGAACACACCAACATTAAAACAGATCAGCAGCAACATGAAACAGATCAGCAGAAACATGATATGGTTTTTCACAGTGATTATTCTAGTTAGAGATTCAAGAGTCTAACAGCCTCAGGGTAGAAGCTGTTCCTCAGTCTAGTGGTTCTACACTTAATGCTCCTTAACCTCCTTCCTGAGGGGAGTGGGGCAAAAAGTGTGTGTGCTGGGTGAGTGGGGTCCTTCATGATGCAGGTGGCCCTCTTCCTGCATCTGGAGGTGTAGATGTCTGTGATGGTGGGGAGGCTGATTCCAACAGATTTCTGTGCAGCCTTCACCACTCTCTGCAAAGGTTTTCTTTCTGCAGCTGTGCAACCTCCATGCCACACATTGATGCTGGAGCACAGGATGCTCTCCACTGCACACCTGTAGAAGGAGGTGAGGACTGAGCTTCCCAGACCAGCTCGCCTCATCCGTCTGAGGAAGTAGAGTCTCTGATGAGCTTTCTTGATCAGGCTGGTGGTGTTGTTGCTCCAGCTGAGGTTGTCATTCATGTGTACACCCAAGTACTTGTAGCTGGAGACCACTTCCACCGCAGATCCTCTTATGTTCAGGGGGG